GTTATTTTGTAACGAGTTCTACAATTTTTTGCTTTAGATTGAAAAACTTAAAAAAATAAAACAATGAATACATTTTATAAGAAGAAATTTTAAATAAAATTAAAACTTTTAAAGGAAATTTTGCAAATGTTTTGCTGTAACCGAAATGTTTTATCTTAAAAGTATAATATAATGTAAAAAGAAAAAGGGTTTAAAAATATATTTTAGCCATCAATTTTAAAAAAAAACATAAAAAAAATTAATAAAACAAATACATGTTCAGCTACCGAGGGTTTGGAACGACCTCGTATTTTGAACCGTGGTCAAGGAAGGGCGGGGGTGTGTGTGAGCTGCCCCCCTCCTAACTACTACACCAACAGGAGCACGTTTGAGCTTTTGACAGTTTTAATGTACATCGCTCCCCTACACATCGGATCTTCAGCCCGTTACCTTGACCACTAGGCTACCGCGACCAGATGAAACCTTAGCAGATTTTTGCCTAGTAGATGCAAAAGAATTTCCAACCATTTCTGTAACTACAATACAGTATCTTGTACGTTTTTCTATAACTTATTTTGTAAAATTTTTTCCTTTAAAAACCATAAAACCAAAAGGGCCCCCCACTTCAGGCATTAATGCGGCCTGCCCCTTTCCCGTGGAATGTTTCCTATGTAATAACCAATATTTTTATTTCTGTACATTGTATATATGTGGATACGAGTTCAAATAAAATAACACCCAGGGCACCCAATTTGATACGTTCACGACTGACCGCATCCAATCAGAGAGAGCCTCAAGCTCCTCAACCAAGAAAAAAAAAATCCCATTTTGAGAAGCACCAATCCACGCCTCCCGGATTCCATGTTCGACCCGCCCTTTATGCCACTCAGCAGAATAGAAACACCATTTGTCAAGCCCAACATCCCTTTTCACGATATGGGATTGAGGACTGTTTTACAGTCCAGATGCCCAAAGAATAACGCCCATTCAATAAAATAGCGTACGTCATCCTTCCCCATTTTCAGGGGAGTTCTCTTGATTTGTTTTCTCCTCATCATGGTATTACTTTTTCTCCCATCCTTCTGGGAATATGTGAGCCCGGGTCATCTAAATTTTTGTATTAAAAATTTTCCCCAAATTTTGGGGTTTTTTTAATGTGGGGGTTACCCCCCCCAAAAGTCTCGATGTAATATAATATAATGTAATAAAATAATCCAGAACACTGTTCTGGAAAGTGAAAGAATGTTCTAGAAGAAACAGTAATAACAATTAACAATTAAAAGAACAGATAAACGATGTCGGGTTTTGAACCCAAGACATGTCTTTCAACAGACGAGTGCATTACCAGGGAGCCAAAGGTGCTTGTAGAAATATATGTACATGGATAGATACTAATTAAGAGTATTCCTTGAAACTTATTAAAACTAATAAAAACTTACTACAGTATACATTGATGCGATTTTTTTACACATTTTGGATAATAAATTAAACATTAATATTATTAATAAAAAGTAGGGTTTTAATTTAAATCTATTAAAGCTCCAATTAAAGTAGGGGTAGTAATAATCCTACATCTTTTTATCTGAATCTTATTCTTAATTAATTACAGCTTAGCAATTACTTAATTAAGAAAAATAGTAGCAAAAAATTAATACTTTTAAATATACAGGGTGTCCAGCCTTAATGTGACCCAATGGCTAATTCCCGAACTGTTCCGTTTAGATATATACTTCCAATTTAAAAAATGTCTTTAAAAAGGTAAAGAATGTTTTTACGTGCTTTTCGAACCAAAAAACCCATTTAGAAAAAAGTTACAAAAATTAAATTTTTATACGATCCCCAGGTCCTATGGCATATTTAGGAAAACATACAGTACACAAAAACAAAGTAAACGCAAAAAGTTTCATTTTATTACGATAAAAACTGACCGAGTTTGAAAACCACACATTTCACCCATGATCTCGGCCATTTTGAAGAAGCTAGTAAGGGGACGTCTCCAAAGTGATATTAATTGGAACTCTGCTAGGAAACTTTCGCTCTTGCAAGTCACTCTTACGTAAATCGTTTTAAATTTATAAGTAAATACATTACGTTAATAATACAATAATTTAATGCTTAAGAAATAAAATTTATTCTGTGTACGTGTAAAATATAGACAAAATTAAATATTTTGGACGAAGGAAACATTTCAAAAGCAGTTCCAGAAAAATAGACTTATTTGCTGCGGCTTCGAACTGATTTTCTGCGGTACTGATCATGGCGAACGTTAAAAATCTGTTGTGTAGTCGCATACAGTCGTATTCTAATATTACGAATTCTAGTACGGGATAACGAGATGTATACAAATGAAGAATACTGCGAAATACTACTGTTGTGTATGAGCAGTGTAATTGAAATAAGAGAGAGGCTGCAAGACTTTATGCCATTAAATTTCCCAGTCGAAGACACCCATCTTATTGTACAATTGCCGGTACTGTTCAACGCTTGTATAAAACTGGGAGTTGACATAGACGTATTCCCTTATCTCGTGCCATACCTTCAAGCTTGCTGATACCCGCTGAGGATGTTCTAGAATATGCCCTGGCTCATACTGAAAGTAGTGTACGGGATATTAGAAAGGCTTGTTCCTACTCAAAATCGACGGTGTAAATCTTTCTTGTACAAATTAATATTATTCATTTGATTCATTTCGCTTCAATTGCATCCTCGTTTCTGTTGTTTTCTTTTACTTTATAATAGACGATAATCAACGAAATGAGTTAATTTTTTAGATATTTTCTTTTAATTTGATCATCTTTAATATTTAGATTTTACACATCTCTTTTCTCAACATTTTTAAAACTTTTATATTACTTTTTTATTTTTTGTAAATTGTTTTAATGTATTTTTACTAAACACTTTCTACATTAATTAATTTTTTTTAAATTTTTTTTATGGATTTTTACTGGTACGTAGGTATACTATTTTACTTCTATATTTAACTACATTCTTCAAATTAATATTAGACTTTTAAAGTTTTTATTCGCTTTTCTGAGTCATTAGATTACTTTTTTACGCCTTAATATTATAAAAATTAATATTTTTAGTAAACATTTTTAATTTTAACAAACAAATTTAAAACTTTATTCCTATTTTATCCCAAACAATATCAGCAAATAAATAGGAAGTTTGGCGTTTTGAAACAATGTTAAACCCTACAATTGTAGTCCTAAGTGTAAGAATTTGCTGTTATGTTACTGTGGTCATTCTGCTTTTACCTGTACTGTCGTGTTACACTCATACATTTGTTTTAAATTGAGTTAAAATTATTTTTATTATTAATATTTTTTTTTATTATCAGTATTATTGTCAAACTCTGTCGAGCACTTGTTTTCAAATCTTTGGGAGGGAGGGGAGGTTGTATATTATGTTTTCTATAGATGTATTTTTTTTTTGTAACATCCTATATTATTTCCATTTTCATGGTCTCAAAATAGCTCTTCCCCCCAGCAGCATCTAAACAGCTTAATTACAATACAGGATAAATTATTGTATTCTTACCAATTTTCAAAAATTGTCATATAAACAATAAATGTTGTACTTTTAATACAGCCGTAAAATAAAGATGTCATGAAATATCTTTATTGAATATAGGAACAATACACAATCATTATTGAGTGAACAATAATTATTTTTAATTGTTTATTATATGATGTATGTATTTTGCAGTCGTAAAGACAGATTTTTTTTTGTTACTTAAACACATAATCTCAATGGAAGTAATTCTTGAACATTTATGTAAAACAGTAGTTAAGAGAGAGAGAGAGTATTTTACTGTTCCAAGTTTATGCATTTTGTTTTTATTGTTATTCAATGTCTGTGAATATAATTGGGTTTGGGTCACTTTTCCTATACACTATATACAATCTATATTCTTTATCACAATCTCGATATATGATATAAAAGATCTACTTCAAAAGAATAATTTTACTAACCAGGTCTCTTCAATACCTGAATGACTGTAAATAAAAAACATTTACAATTTAAGTTTTCAGCTATCTAACTTTTAATAGTATATCTGTATTTATATTATAAAGAGGTTCATTTCAAGACGTAATTCTCTAATCTGTACCCATCATCCCGTGGTTGAACTGCTAAAAAAATGTTTTCTTACCTAGTACACAAATTTTGCGTTCTATAACATCTAAAGCGGTGGGACACGAAGACAAAGATATCCGAATAGGAAAAATATTGTTTGTGTACATACCTTGCCGTAGAATAATCATTAATTTTTGGCGGTCAATGACTGACCAACTGGAGCTCCAACGTATTGGAAAGAAGCTTCGGAACGATGAATAAAACAGAGTACATTCCAATGCTAAAGCATAACTTCCTTTCGAATGGGTTCCGTCAATCCACTTGAACTGTATACCAATGCTTTCTCTTCGCAGATGGATTCACGAACTATTTAAGCAGGCCACCATTTGAGAGAGAACATACAAGTATACTAAACAAAGTAGGGTGAACAAATCGTATGATTTTTCGATATTTGGGTTGGAGCTTTGTTACCATTTGAAGATGTTGGCAGAAATGGGAGAATCATGACCACATAGAGACACGTCAGGTAGGTAACAACCAGAAAACGCGAAAACCGAGTGATTGTTTGATCGATTCTCATACACCGTGATGCATTCTTAGCTAACATCCGTATGTACCTGGAAACACTAGTGACTGATTATCGATAGGCAACTCAGTGAACGAAAAGCTAAGAGAGGTCACAGAGATCATTGTACTGACAGCCCTTTACCATTCCATACCTACCACACCCATTTGCAACTGTGAATGATGCAATTGGCCGAAGTACCACGAAACAGAGAAGAAAATTTTCAATAATGATCCTGCTCTGAATTTAACCTCAGTTACTAGTAAAGACGGCTTAGGAGATATCCAGGACGGTGGTGGAATGCTCAACTAATTATAATCCCTTACACAACTTGACTGTCAGGAGTTGCGGTATGGAATGATTTTCATTAGATAACTGGTCCTTTTTGCCACACATCCGGTATATGGTTAGTGACGCTGACTGCGGTGCTGTAGATCCTGTGTTCAAATCCCGGAGAAGGAATGAATGTTGGTAAATGTATAGTGCCTTTGCGGCATGGGGTACTTTAAATAGCCGTCGAGTCGCAAGTTCTCTCGGGAAGTTGGTGGAAAGGAAGAGAGGTGGGAAGAGTGTCCTACTTCAAAATTGTGATGGAATATAGAAGTCCAACCTGTCTCAGGCTCTGGCAACTTTCATTCCTTCCCTTTGGGATGGAGACGAAAACAACAACAACTGGTCCCTTTGTTTGTCATGCCTGATACTCTTACAACACGGGGGTACAAAGGCGTGTTTCAACACCCTCTAGTATTATCTTTTCTTACACTGACAGTTGGACTTACATTTAAACATGATAATTCCTAGCTTTCAGGGTGTGACTTTCTTCTGCTTGTTTACGTGTTACTCTAACATTTTCCTGTGGCGTGCGTTATCATCAAATCTCTGCCCAATACAGTACGTTTGGGATCTGATGAGCAGACGTCTCCGAGCATCTCTTGACCGAACCGATCTAATTCGCCCTTCGGATCAGTTCTGGTAAGTAATCGTGGAGCAGGATATTCGCTAACTGTGCAAATCCACGCCCTTAATACAATACCTTGTATCAGGTAAAGTGGTGGGCCAACATATTATTGATTTTTAACTGTATAGTAGCATTTTTTTTTAAAAAAGCATTCAATTCCTGTGTTAGCATTTCGCTTTCAATACTTGTATATCATACCTACCGATCTTTATCATATTTGAATAACTTCTTGTGTCGCTTTTCATTTTACAAAGTGTTCTTTTTACAACATGTGTTCAAATCTTTTCATGAAGCATTTATAACTTTTTTTCCAATAACAACTTTAATTTTATGAGCTGATTTAAAAGGATAAATTTTGAGTCTAATGCTGAAATAATTATGAATTGTGTGAAATGAATATACCAGTTATGTTCACTCTTCACTTCAGCCAGTATGGGTTTCTTAAAAAGACAACTAATGATTTCTGCTTAAAAAAATTCATTAAACGTGTCTATATAAAAAATCCTTTATCTTATATCTTTTATGGTATATTTGAACAAATGTTTGGAATACATCGTAAAACTATTTGTATTACAGGGTTCCACAAATCATTCCTTGATCTTATTAGAGTTATTCTTTGATTTGTAGATTTCATGACAGCTGATGATATTTATTTGTTTCTTATAAAAGTTATTCAACTTCACAACTGGTCAATTCAGTAAGGGTTTTGAAATCAAGATGAAGACATTTGTTACATTCTGCATCATCTCTCTGACACTCTGTGTTACATTGAGTAAGTTTTGGTGAAATAATTTTTTAAAACATTTTGCAGTAAATTTATTTTTTGTAGTAGCTTGTTGTACATTATTTTTTTGTTTTAAGGTAAATAGGGAATGAGATACTGAGCTTCTTTAATGTTTTACGTATTCTTGTAGTAATTTTTTAGTTTAAAGACTGATAAGTATTAAACTGTTTGCAGCCCATATTTGTATTCAAATAAAAGCTCGGAATAAATCAAAAGAACTTTAATTTTAAAAGTTTTGCTTAGAATTTAAGTTAAAGAGTTAAACTTAAAACTTGGGTTTAGTTCTTTGATTTTTTGTTTTATTAACATCGCATTCTAAAGCAATGTAAATCTGTTGGCGACGGATCTTGAACGAATGGTAAGGTATTTGGCGAATATGGAAGGTATTTGGGGAAATGATGCTTTATAAGTGATTCTTTAAAGTTTTGGAGAGCATTTTTAGCCAAAGGCAAAATACAACTCCATTTCTAATATGAATAATTAAAAGTATCTACGAATCTTTTAGATGTTCAACCCTTAGTATATTGCTCATCTTTAGGGCTCAATAGTTTAGTTTTTCTAAAAGATGAAACATCTTTTTACACTTTTAGAACAGCAAAATAGAGGTTGATAAAAAAAACAGCAACATTTTGATGTCGCTAGTTGATCCCTAGACTTAAGCAGGATAAAATTGTTTATATATATATATATATATATAATTCAATCACAACCCAATAATCAATCAAAAAATTGAAACCATATGATCCTATAGATTAACCCATTAAAATATATGCAATATAGAAGATAATTAACGTTTTCAAACAAAATTAAAAATTATAAAATAATTTATAAATATCCAAACCTACTTGTGACATAAGTGTTAAACTAGTTTGATAACTAAACTAGTTTGATAGCCTATATATATATATATATATATATATATATATATATATATATATATATATATATATATATATATATATATATATATATATATATATAGGCTCAAATTGTTAGAAAAGTGTAGAAAACTGAGAGGCAGTGTAATTCATTTGAAGAGCTTTAAGATGGCATCTTTACAGCATGGAATGGTAATGATCTGGAATATTTGAAAAGAGTTTGCTGAAACTATGCAAGGCAGAATGGTTCATTGGCCTCGCTATAAAAGAAATAGCCACAAAACATTGATTTAAAGAATAACTGTAAGATAAGATAAAAAATTAAATTATCCTTATTAATGTGAATTTACTAAAAAAATGTTTTGACTATACTTCTTTATTATCAAAAAGAAAAATGATAAAAGTCTTTTAATATTGTCTATAAATCTGCAATAAGTATTTTTTTTTTATTTTACCGATTGTTTTTATTATTTTGTTAAAACAAAACCTTTGTTATGCTTATAATTATGGAAAGGTTATGGGAACATGTTATATACCAGTTGTTCATAATTGAAATTTGAACAAAACTATGCAATAGAATTCCATGAAAATTGGGTAATGGCATAGTGAAATTATTGGAATTTTAACGAGGGGAACAAAAAACAATGATTTTCTAAAAACACCACTAGATGGCGTTGGGCAATGTAAGCTATTGGCATTTGCAAATGTCGTAACCATAGTAATCCTGTGTGTGCGCAGCAACCCGAGAGATATAGAGATGCGAGAGGTGAACAGCATTCACAGATTCGTTTTTAGTCAAGGAAGATGACGTTGACTCTCCAGGAACGTGCTTTACTGGTAAAATGTTTTACCAAAACGGAGACTCTTCTACCGAAGCTTTTCAGAAATTTCGGTCTTTGAAGCAGTTATGAAAAGGTCCACTCAAACATGATTAAGAAATTTGAAGCAACGGGAAGATTGAGAATTCAACCAAGAAAGGGACGAAAGTGTGTTGCAGCACAGGTAATGGATGATGTAGAGAAGCAAGTGGAGGAAGATAGATCGCAAACCATCGGCAGTACTAGTTTTCGGCGTATTTCAGTATCTTTTTAGTAACCTCGTACCACGGTTCATAAGAATCTTCGAAAGGTATACTATGCTATCGGAATAGGTTATACTATCCTTATAAAATATCGCTAGTGCAGCAGCTCTTACCAGATGATCTGGATAGTCCTATCATCTGGTAAGATTACTGACAAGGCCCACTTTTATCTGGAAAATGCGGTTAACACGCACAATTATCGTATTTCGGCTTGTACGAACCCGCATTAACTCCTACAAATTCCATTACACTCTTGGCATGTAACAGCTTGGTGCGACTTTACTGCAACCTTTATTGCGGGTCCGTTTTTTCGAAAAGCATAGCGCCGCAGTGCTTGTGACAGCACCGTCACCTTATTACAGCAATCCGTTTTTCCGGCTCTTTAGGCAAGACGATAGGGTTGCGGTAGCCCAGATGGTCAAGGTATCGGATCACGGCTGGCATGTCATGAGTTCAAGCCCAGTACCATTAAAGATCCGCCGTGTAGGTAACAAAGCACAGTAAATCTGTCGAGAGCTCAAACGTCCTCCCGTTGGTGTGGTGTAGTAGTTAGAAGAGGGGGTGCCGTCTCAGGTATCGTCCTCGTCCCTTGACCATGGTTCAAAGTTACGAGGTCCGTGGCCAAAAGCCCTCGAGTAGCCGAATATAGTGCGTTAAGTTAATATTCATTCATTTTCACACACACTCACTCAAAAACACTCAACTTTCATAATATTTAATGCTATAAGTATTAATAATTGTTTTGAAACATACCTTGGTTGTTAAAGTAAGATGTCATAATTAGTTATGCAGACCTTATGACCTTAAAACAGCATAGAACTGCATGTGCGTAATGTTTCCAGTTCATGCTGCTTTCAACAGCGCAACATGCGATTTTACGCTTCCAATTGGTAGCAGATAATGTTGGACAGCATATCGAGCATGTTTTGTAAACTTTTGTTGATTATTTAAATGTTCTCAATAAAGCTATTATATGCCACCCAAGGGTAGTTTCTGAAATTCATTGTTTTTTCTCCTCAATAAAATTCTCATCACTTCATTCTGCCATTACCCAATTTTGATGTAATTCCGCTGCATAAGTTTTTGCTACAGACCGCTCTCAAATTCCAAGTTTAATTATGGGCTCCCAGTATTTTAAATAAGGATTTTATTTTAAATGTCCATGTTTCGTCTCAATAAATAATGATTCAAATGTTTTAGCTCAAACTTTTAAATAAATTAATTTAATTACGGACTAAAATTATTCCTTTCAAAATTAAGATTTAAAAAACGTTATCAATGAAACTGTTTAAAATAGTATAACTAAGTCTTAAGTTTAAAAGAATGCAAAAAGAAAAAAAAATTTTAAAGTAGTAGTAAAAAATTTTCATAAAATAAAACATGCTTTAATCTGATAAATATTTTGCTTTATTCATTCAATAAGTATGACTAAAATATAATTCTATAAAATTTTAACTAACAAAATTATTTAAAATCTTTCTTTACGGAGAAGTAACTGATTTTTGAAATCACCTATAGTAAAAATTCGAATTTTTAAATCATGAAAAAATCCAAACATTTCATCATAAACTCAAATGTTTATATTTTAATAGGATATATAACAAATTTAATATCTTAAGGAATTCGAGAGACTCCTAGCCCCAATAGTTTATTAAAGAATAATATTCAGGTATTGATAAAAGGAAAAGAAGCAGTATTCGTTATCAGTCTATTCGGCAATTTTTACACTTACCATAGATAACAGGAAACTCTAACATACAA